AGGTAGCTCGCCGCTTCGGATTTCCTCTCGCGTCGCCGCGCAAGGCGCTGGCCACGCGCCGCGCCCCGCGCAGATCACCCCAGGCGGGCGCCCTGTCGTGGGCGGTCGCCGCGGTCGGAGGAGCGCGCCGCCAGGGTATGCTGCGTTATTGCCGCAGCTGTTCCCGGCGGGGCCGCTGGAAGCCTTCGTGGAGCGAACTGCCGCGATCCCCAGGACCATGCATGTGCATGCATGCGCTGCCGACCTCGCGCTCCAGTCAGCGCTGCCGAGACCTCGAATCACCCCGGCAGCCTCGACCGCGCCGGAGCTGCTCGCGTGCCCCGCGAGAGGCTGGTCTGCCAATCGCTCGCAGCAGAGCCGAGGTGATGGCCGCTGACGCACCCGTTGCCAGGATGGCGCAGAAACACGCGTTTCGCGCGGCGTCGGCGACGGCCGCCCTCGGCATGGAGACGGCCGGAGGCAGGCAGCTGAAGCGCCGGGGGGATCAGAAACGCATCGCGAACGCCAAAGGCCAGGCCGCCGCGTCTCCTCGGGCCCCGCGGTCAACGCGGGCGACTTTCCTAGAGGAACACCACGCCCGCCATCGGGCTCGGCACGGCGCGCGGCTGCCAAGTTGCCGGCGCCCCCCCCCTCCCGCTTGTCAAGCAGGTGGCGGGGCGCGGGCAGTGGGTTGTCCAAGACGCCAACTGCGCCGTCGACCGCTGTCGCGTCTTCGCTCGAGCCACCCGTGCTTCGGCAACCAGAATTATCAGCGACCGCGGGTTCAATGTCTCGCCGAGGCCAAGTTGGCGGCCGCGGCCGCCGCCCTTCGGGCCATTCCAGGACGCTCGGCAGTTATAACCCGCGCGGGTCTTCAAATCGAACCACCCCTGGAAGAAGTTGACAGGGCCATCTGGGGCCCTCGCCGCCCATGGGCGCAGACCTAGACAGGTGTATTCTATTGGTTTTTAATGGCAGACTAGGTCGGGCACCGGGCTCGACCGCAGAGCCGCAGAGACGAACCCCGCGCTCTAGCCAGGGGTGGCTCCAAAACAGCTCTCCGGGAGGAGTGGCCGAGTCAGGAGGGGCAGGCCCTCGAAGACCCCGACTCCCGATTCGACGGTCTTCAGATCGCCAGGCGGCCACTGGCGCGGCGCGCCACGCTCGGGCCCAGTTCTCTGGCGCCAGGGAAAAGGCCGCCCGGGCCGCGCCCACCTCGGCGACGGCCGCGCCCCGATCGACACTGATCGGAGGGAAGTGGCCCCAGCAGCGGCCAGTCTCAGCGCGGACGTTCGGAGGTTTAGGACTGCCTGGCGCGCGGCGCCCCCAGAGGCGCCCCCGGTCGCGCATTCTGACGCAGAGACCAGTGTCAGGATACTTGCGGGAGGCAGCGGGCGCCCCCCATTCGACGCGAGCGAAGAGGCCCTCCTCGCGGCGCTCTTTTTAATTTTTATGCGTTTTCTCCCCGCGCGCGCGGCCGCCCGTCGTCGAGGGGCGCGTTCCCGTTGGAGGGCGCAACTGCTCGGGGCCAGCGCTGCGCTGGATATCGCCGGCACAGCGTCCGCGGATGGTTCAGTGGCGCAGCTGGTCTCGCGGCCTGAGTCGGCCCGCGCGGGCCAGGGCGCGGCCGTTCGCCCCCCCCCCCCCCGCCATCGGCGAGGCGCCCCCCGTTCCGATCTGTTTGCGCCGCTGCAGGCCCCCAGTCGGCAGGGGCCCCGCTGCGCATTTAAACGGCGGGTGGCGCGGCGCCCGGCGGCGGGAGGCGGCGCCCAGAACCTTCGCGTCAGCACCATGACCTCTGGAGGACAATACGGAGAGCCATTGGCAATCATGGCGGCCTCGGCCCCGCCCCCCTGTCGCCCGCGCGGGCGAAGCCCGATCAGTTCGAATGGTTTTGCGAAGAGGTAGGGGGCGATTTTGTGGGCGAGGCCGCGAAGCATGGTCTGGCTGCGCGCGAGCCCTCGGAAAATCCGGCCCAGGCCCGCGCCGCCGCTCTGCCCCTTCCTCCGTTAAATGCGCCGCTGGGCCGGGGGTCGCAGGAGGGGGGGGGAGGGGGGCGGGGCCCGTCGGTCTCGTTCCAGAACTCTCGCGGAGGCGAGCGTTGTAATGAGCCGCCTTTGATCCGCTATCCCGATTGGTTGCGCGAGGCCCAGCAAGCGCGCGCGTCTCGGGCGCGCGGGGAGGCGGTCGCGAGGGTCGCGCGGGTCGCGCGCGCGCGATGTCGCCGCTGCCGTCGACCGAGGCCCCCCGCCCTGGCCGCGCGCGCCCCGCGGGGGTCTCGATGGGGGGCACAGCCTGGCGGATGGCGCGAGCTGTGCCGTCCCAGGTGATGCCGCACACCTGGTCCACGGGCAGGAATCTAGAGGGAGTGGTTTCGGTGGTCCTCCTGCGTTCTGGAGGATAGCACGAGCTGTGCTGTCCCAGGTGACGCCGCACACCTCTGCTCCCAGGGAGTGGCTACGGTGGACTCCCCTCGCGTTGAGGGGGGCACAGCCTGGAGGATAGCGCATAGCACTGTCCCAGGTGATGCCGCATACCTGTCTGGAGCTCTGGGCTGACGCTTTCCTGCGTGCCTTCGCTAAGGCCGCGACGCGAGAGAGGTGCACCATCCTGAGTGCACCCCGCGTCGGCACCTTCGGTCTTGTCACTGCTATCTTCCGTCTGTGCAGCTGGTGCCCGTGATCCTTTAGGTGGGGTCCCAGCTTTTCCGCAGGCCTGCCAGGCTGCTAGCAGCTTGGCGCCTCAGGAGGGCGTTCGTGCACCGCGCGACGCTTCCCTTGGCAGTGCCGTACCCACCTCCTTCCCCCCTCCAACTTAAGGTGGTGGTGGTGGTGGTGGTGGTGGAAAGCAGGCCCAACATGTGCAGCATTGGACTGAAACCGACACTGGCGTCGGCACGGCCGGGACCAGCCGCAACGAGGGAGGAGGAGGAGGGAGGTGGGGGAGGCCATGAAGTCTGCTCGGATTTCAACACGTCCCCTGGCCCCTTCTTCTTGTTAGAATACGACCCTTGCCCCCACACCCCCCCTTCTTGGACATCCGCGAAAGCCCGGAGTTGGGCAGCATCGAGCGACCTGCGCCATCGGAAAATCGCGATCTTTGGGGATTGGACGGCCCATGCGGTGTCAGAAACCGACATTTTCGTCGACACGACTGGGACCAGCCGCAACGAGGTCGGAGGAGGAGGAGGGAAGTGGGGGAGGACGGAAGAGGAGGACTGCCAGCTTATCGCCCGCATGTTTAACATGTGACTGAAACCCAAGGTCGCGACGGGTGATCGTGTGGAATGATTCGTGGACGGCGGGTTTGTCTGAGGAGGCGGAGGAGCAACAGGCACGGTTTTGCGCGGGACTTTTCCCGACGGGGTGGCAGATCTTGGCATTATTCTGCCAAGTTGTCGATCCGCATTTGAGACAGAGGCTATTACATTTGAGACCGCACTGAGTAAGCTGCCTAGTACCGATCTATCGGGGCAGCAGAACCAGCAGCCTAGGGGCGCAATTCGGCCTTACGAGGAATAACAAGAATAAGACGAATTATAATAAGTTTAACCATACAGGTAATACTAACAATACCTAATCATGTAAGAGGAATGCGAGCACGAATGCTACTACCAATGCGAATACTCATAACCGTACTAATACTACGAATGATCCGACTGGTAATCTTCATAATGCTAATATCAGTAATACAAAGTAATACGAATACGAAACATGTAAGTAATACGACTAATGATGAGATGCGATATCAATAATAAGATGGATAAACCAAGCATGCTACTACCAATTACTATTATTCTAACAGTATTAAGAAGGAGCAGACGACTAGTAAGAATAGCATAAGGTGCACAACAAACATAAGAAGACGAGTAAACACAATGATATGATTAGTAATAAGACGAAGAAGAATGGGAGGAGGAGGAAGAAGAGGAGGAGGGGTAGGGTTGAGTCGGGCACGTCCCTCCACAGGAGGAATATTCAAAAATAGAAAAAATAGTCTGGGGACGATGTTTCGACCAATGTTTGACTATGTTTGAGCATGTTTGGCTATTTGTCATTTTTCGCCCAAAATCCGCCTGTCGGAGGACACGCCCGACCTAAGACTAAGGGGAAGGAGGGAGGGAGGAGGAGGAGGGAGGAGATAGGAGGGAGGGAGGGAGGTTGGATGGGAGTGGTAAGAGGAGGAGGAGGACGAGGACGAGGAGGAGGAGGAGGAGGAAGAGGAGGAGGACGAAGATAAAATAAGGTATGAGCACCACTGACGCTTTCAAACCCTTTGTCAATGCAGTGAGCAGGGTGGGACTTCCTTGCCGCCGCCCGCGCGTCTAATTCGCAATGCCCGTCAAGAGTTCCTTGTGTTTCTGCATTCGCTTCTCACCGTTTCTCCCCGCCTAGTCTACCGATGTGGTAGGATATCGATGTTGCTGCTCGCACACCCGCGTCGAACTAAGGCGGCGTTTTTCTCCTGCAATCCGACGTCTTCGTACACTGCGCCTCCGCTCAGGCAAGGTCATTGCGACGCTGAAGGGAGAGAGGAGGGAGTCAGGGAGGGAGGGACGTCTGGGTCAGGGCCATTTCGGCCGCAGACTCGTGGAGGCTTTACGCTTTCCAGCAGTGGACTCGGCCGCCATACGCCTAGCCCCGGTGGACACGTAGGGAGGGAGGAGGGAGAGGGAAGGCGGGAAGAGGGAGAAGAGAGGATGGAGGAACGAGAAGCGAAGAACGAGGAGGTAGGTGGGAGGAGCAGTAGTGAGGGAGGGAGGGAGGGAGGGTGGGACGGGAGAGGGAGGGAGTGAGGGAGGGAGGAGGGCGGGAGGAAGGAGAGAGGGGAGGACGGAGGAGGAGTGTAACGTTGAAGCGAAGGAGGAGGGGGGGGAGGAGGAGGAGGAGGAGGAGGAGGAGGAGGAGGAGGAGGAGGAGGAGGAGGACGAGGAGGAGGAGGAGTAGGAGGAGGAGGAGGAGGAGGAGGGGAGCAGCAGGAGGAGGGACAGCGAGGACAGGGCTCGCTGCCCCGCGCCCGAG